CATCGAGAGATGGGAAAGGGACTGGCACCGCGCCCAACCCCACTCTGCCGCTGACACGCCCCGACTGACCTCAGTGATAACGACCGCATGAGTCATGGTCAGACGATCAGATTGAAAACTTGACGATCACTATCGGCGAAGATCGTTTGTTTCCGATGTTCAAACAATCACGATTGCCTTAACAACGGAATGTTCCGCTTAGGTGATACACATGGGGTTTTCCTTACAACATCGTATAATCACCTTCACGGATCGAAAATGAATGTAGGCAATGTGAGGAAGGGTTATGCTAAACTCTTCAACGGTAACCCTGCACCGGAAACAAGAACGTCTTTCTGCCTCACCTTCACATTATCTTCATTTCGTCTGACATTGTTAGTCGCACTACTGAAAACTTCACCTGAGAACAGACAACCTTATCTGATCCTGCAACGGCACTTTCCAGTGATGCCGTAGTCTCAATCAGTTCCTCTACGACTTCCATCACGGTATTGTCTCCTCTGGACTACAAAAGAAAAAAGTCACCAAAGAGAACATGTAGGCTGGCCCCAGGCTCAGTTTTCTCGAAGCTTGCAAGCAAATGCATGTCTGACAATCCCTGCTGCATAGTCTTCACAGAATTCACCAGAGTGAGACTTCCAAAGGAAAATGCCCCTACACCACCACCCCAGCCGAGCTGCGCCAGCTGTGTACTACCATTTTCAGACACTTTTCGAACCAAAACAGGCACTTTTCAAACCCAACCGGACAACCTTCCAATCAAATCGGACACATCCCTTATATCGAACAGTTGACTAACTAGACCACATTAGGTACTGCTGCAAACCACGCCCAACACCCCCGCCCACCTTTTCCAGCGCGGTCACGGTTTTCCGAAAATGTTTTTTAAATTCTGCTGCCGTGACTTTCTGGAACATAATGAAACAGACACGACTCCACCCACTTTTTAGGGAGGTACTGCAGATTTGGACCTTGGGCCTTAAGACCCACATCCTTCAACCACGCCACCTTTTGGATTATTTGGCGGAAGTTTATTCTTTTCTTCGAGAGGTTTGCCTCTAGAGACTAACGGGTAGCTCCGCCTCTTATTGGAAGCCCCGCCCACGTTTGAAAAATGATCCATTCCGGCAGGTTATAGACCGAATGGGCAGGTTGTGGTCTCCCCTGGCCCGGAATAAAAATAATTCCACTCTAGGGTCTGTCAATGAACATGTTCATCTCAAAGCATTCTTCAAAAACGTACCTCATCAGCAGCAGATCCAGGCTGTTTGCTACCGGAATCTTTTTTCCAATTTTTATAAGCGTCTTCGTTAACCTTAAATAACAACTCTGGACCTTATTGAAGTAATCGAGATACTATTAAACATGTGAAACATCTGAAAGTTGAGCATAAAACTTACAACCCAATTACAACGGGGTTTTATACGAATTGCCACCACATCGCCCTGTAAAGCGCGATTTCGGTCAGGCATGCCCAAAACAGCAATATCCGGGAATTCGCTACCATTCGGATTATCGATGAAGGCTTCCTCGAATTTTTTTTGATTTATCCGTATCTGGCCCTAAAATATCGGAGCTGTGTGGAAATGGAAAAAGGAAGAATTTGAAATTATCGTGAACTCAGATGAAACCGAACGGAGAGTGACAGTGCAACAAGACCTTCAGGAGTGTTCCGTTCGCAAGACCTTCACGAATTTCATCTTCACTCATATGCTTTTTGAAAAACGTCTTGGTGGTTGCAGGACGCGACGTTGAATTCTGCGGTTGCTTTGCGTTCCTGTAAAAAAAACTCAATTCGCCAAGGGTTTACCGGGTCCAGTTCAATGCTCTGACAGAACGAGCAGCCTCAGCGTTCACGAT